CCCCCAAAACCCCAAAACCCCAAAACCCCTATATACGAATTGGTAATTGATGAATATTAATGGATATTATGGATTCACTTCGCTTTTATCTAAATTTTTGTCATGATTTTGAGACTTTTGCTTCTCAAGTTTGAGCACAATTTGGTCCGAAAGCTTTTCATAGTCTCTTGAGAATATAATCAAGGAAAAGCAGACACATATAAAGAGCATAGCAACTGGCATACCTGCCCAAACTCCTTTCATATCCAAATTTTTACAGAATGCTAGATAATATCCGATTGGGACTGACAGAATCCAGTATCCGATGAGTCAGATTGGAGTGCAGTATCTCTGTAATCCCATTGCTTTAATGATTCCTCCCATCGTGCATTGGAGATAATCCCCAATGAGATAAGAAATGAACACAGGCATTGAAGTAATGATATAACTTGATATCCCCTCATCAGTCGTGAACAGATGTGCTAGTTGTTTTCTGAGCAAAAATAGTAAGGTAACATTAATTGTAGAGAATATAAATGTCAAACTTAGCGCAATCCTAGTGTAAGTCATAGCTGATTTTGGCTTTGATGCGCCCAAACTGTTCCCGATTAGACTTGAAGAGACAAAAGAGATTCCTAAAGGAATCATGAAAGATACTGAGAAGAGGTTTCCTGTGATCGCACTAGCTCCAAGCTGAGCTACCCCAAGATATCCACACATAATATGCATTGTCTGGAAACTCCAAATTTCAAGAGCAATGTTAAGATATGATGGAATTGCTAATGAAAGGAACTCGTACATTCCTTTGAAAGATTCTTTATCAACCATGTTCCAGCTCCCTGGCTTCACCTTGGAGTTGTCAATCCAGATCCAGATGTACGGGATCAGAAAATTCAAGCTATGGGTGATCATTGATGAGAAAGCAACTCCTCTTATAGATAAATCAAAATAGTATGCACAAAACAGCCAGAAAGGGTGTAAAACAGCTGTTAAAACTTGAATCCGAGCCATGAAGGTGAAATCTCCCTGAGCTGCAAGGAACTTTCTGAGACACTCTCATTGACAAAACATCCAAGTTGCTGGCAGAAACGCTCTGATGTACACTGCAGCATGCTGAGCTACTTCTGGGTCTTGTCCAACATAAATATAGAAGGACTCACAATTCCATAGAAAGATGCAGATCGGGATCAATGCAAACGTGAAGAATACTTGAGCTCTTGTGAAATATAAGCCTGCTAAACAGTTCTTATTTATTCCCAAATGCTTGTGAAGAAAGAGTCTCGATAGCTCCTGTGAATCCAACTCCAAGAGACAATGACGTCATTGAAGTTGTGATATTTCCAAGTGCTGCTCCTGAAACTAAGGCAGGATCTCCAAATCTACCAATCACAAAATAGTTCATGGTGTCAGTGGATTTTCTTAGCAGAAGACCCCCTGCGGAAAAGAATGTGAGGGCAATTAATTTCCAAACTCCGTCCCATATTTCAACCTTATCTTCGCTTGCATCATCTTGGTCTATATCTGGTCACTACTCGGGAATATACCGTCTTTGTAATGTTTGGATATTACGTTCAGACTGCTGTGAAGGCTCATCTCAATTTCGCTATGATCCGCTATCATTCTTTAAATTATTATGTTTCTAAATTCCAATTATAGAAAAATTATTAGGGGTTTTGGGGTTTTGGGGTTTTGGGG